AGGTCTCTGAATAATATTACTACGATATAATACTTATTAATTATTCCCTTAATGAGCTTACAGTAGTTTATTGACTCTTTTCTACTCGATATATTTATTCCATGTGTATGTATATAATATAACATATTATTGTATTATGTGAAACGTAATCAGTTGAATTTTTATTTACTTTTCCATGTATTACTTTTCTTACTTATTTTTTATTAAAAAAGAAAATGAAAATTGTTTACAAAAAGTCTTCGATACAATAAAATTTGTACTATTAAATATTATACCTGTGTTTTTATTTAATATCATCCCCTCACCTCATTAAAAAGGGGTACATTAATATCGAAAATTAAAATAGTAATTAATAAAGAGAATAAATAATTTAGTAATGTCTAAAGTAAATAGAAAATAACATTTTTTAAATAAATTAACCAAGAGTATAGGCAACACATTATACAGACTATGCCAATCTGTGAGTTGCACTGCTTCCAACGTTATTTATGTCGATGTCTGTATATTCTTTTCATGTGGTGGTGTAATTAAAATGTCCTTCTTTTACTTAGATGTGAAAGTTGGAGATAACAGGAGCATCATCTCTAAAAATAGCAAGCTTAAAAGGCTGTTATCTACATCCACGAATAAATGAAACGATTGAACGAGCTTTTCGTGGCTAGATTTAAATTTATAAACGAACTTAATCTTATGTTAAAGATACTGGGTACTAATTAAGTTGTACATTTTATGTAATTACTTTTTATTTTATAAACTGTAGTTTTTACGAATGTAAATGTATCTAATGGTACTCACGTATTAGCCACTGAAAAAACATCATTGCAGTTAAATAGAACGAATATATTTATAGTTCTTCTGTAAATTATAGTAAAATAAGCTTTAATTTAGTCATTGAATTTATTTGCTGCATAATTTTAATTCATATTTTAACAGAAATAGAGGAATTTCTTCAGGGTACAAAACTTATCTTATTTCTAACCTCTTAACGTCAGATGCACGTCAGATTATACCAATTTTTTACGATTTGATCTTTGAAACTATGAAAATGTACAATATAAGTCAATTATTAACGTTTCTTGAGAAAATCTATTAAGGACATTTTGGGGCTTAAATCGAAGAAATATTAAATGTATTTAAACATATTATTTGTTTACAAACAATTGCATTGTTGAAGTGACAGTATTGAAAATAGGCATATGATTGGCTGTTACAAATTTGTTTCACGAAATACCTTCGATTGGGAAACTATCAATGAATGATGAATGAAAGAGTAGGTTCACTGACCTAATTATAGTAAACGTTGTAAAAAAATTGCATATTTAAACCAAACTTTGCAAATCAATATCCCGGGAATCACTTAACCGATTTACTTGCGGTTTTTACTATTGTACTGAGAATATCCTCGACAATCATGATTGCAAAAACGAAATAAATGTAAGTTGATTTATTGACAGTAATTCGCCGTTATAAATCAGCACATCGACTGAAATGATTACGTTACTTTGATTAGTTTTATCAGTTTTAATGGAACATTATTAATTAAAATAGTCAATATTCATTAGAATATCGATTAAAAAGAGAAAAATGATGAATGAGAATGAAATAAATTTTTTGTTTGGACACATGGCTAGTAATAAATCAGAAGGTTTATTAAGGTGCACGAAATTACGAAAAACAAGGGCCACGTGGCAAACACTATATCCCAGAACGGGAAGTTGTAAGATTCTGGTGTATTTTTATGCACACATCACATTAGAGCGAAGGTGACTAGTGTCCACGATTAGATCGAAACGAACAAGTCGTTACTTATGTACATACATTAAGTTTTAGCATAACTTTCTTGATATTACTTATATCAGCCAGCTTGCAGCAGTCGTAGACGTTTATTAAATCCATGACACGGTGTATAATTCAACTGAACTTTTAAATAAAAGTCTTAAATGCGCTTATGTCATCGGATTTATAAGCAACTCTGCCGAGAAATTTGATGGCAAATGTTCGTATATGTTCAATATGCAGCGCTAATAAATAAAATGCACCAGGCGTCGAAATAATTTTTTAAAATTTTTCGCCGATTATTTATTATACGATTAAATTCATTGCATTGTTTCTGTCTGACGAAAATAATTAAGTAATAAATGTACAAATAGCAGAAGGTGTGTGCAGACTTATTATTTAAAACGATGTTCTGGAACAATGACAATGTAAGCAAAGGCAAAGCTTGAATAAATAAATATTATATTGCCAAACGCTTGCCCTCAAGTTCTTTATTTACCTAATCGAGCCCTTGTTTATCTTGCGTGTAGGGGTCGCATATTGTTCAGGGTTGAACGGAGAATATTAATTCCCGGATTTGAAATCACAACATTATACCAAGATCGAAGCTAATGAATTAAATGTTTACGTATGAACTTCATATTGGTTATGTAAAATTTATCGACAACTTTAATTTGATTTAATGTTAAATTAAATTAAAGAAATCTGGACTTCAAGAGAGGCGGCTTAGTTTTAGGCGCCGAGCCGTTATTAAAGTTAAATAAAAGTTAAGCTAATCGTTCAATTCGAAAGAGACTACGTTTCATCTGGAATGATTAATTGACGAGAACATCTTCGAGACCGTACAGTCTTTGAAGTCGACCTTTCTTTTTTCATTTTTTTTGGCCAAGGACCAAACAGTCCACGCACTACTACGTACACGTATTACCAATCCGCTTTCTTCTTTCTGCGTTTTCTTGCGTAATTTTCGACGAGCGGACGAGACAGAATTACATTCTCGACCCCTAGAGAACGAGACGGTGTGGTGTCTTTGGCTCGCAGGTCCCCAGGTCTCACGTCGTTTCGCATTAGCTTCGGGAAGCCCTGTTTCTCCCCAAAACCCATTTACTACGCTGTCTAATAGGTAACGTTTCCTGCGGGAGAGAAACAGCGCTCTTTACCACACCCGGTCCAGTCTGGAAGAGCAACAGGGATAAAATGAGGACGAACATGAACTTAGAATAGTGTTGGTATTTCTGAATATGCGCACTCCGGGATACCTACGAGGTGAATGGCAACTAAATATACATACATATATATCTATATACATATATATATTAAGCATTTGTATATACACATATGTATGTCTATGTATACGACGGATAGCTACTACTTCCTCCACTCGCAACTGGCTGGATAGCATCAGGACTCCGGCATCTACTTCAGTAGCGGAAATACGTCGGGTAGTGGTGGAACGACGCCGAGCGTCGGCCGCGTCCCTTTTTAACTTATTACGGGAACCTGCCGCACGCCGATTCATGCGTGATCGAATGTCGCGCGCGATAAAAACGTACGAAACGTCGAGAGAGCGCCGCGTATGCAAAGTTCTTCGTGTTAGGGTTGTCTGTTGAATTAAAGCACGGGAAGTGCGTTGAAAAAGGGTTGTTCGTATATCATTAGTTTTAAAAGTACACGTACACTTCGTGGTGTTTTGTGGAGCCCTGGAGCTCTGCAATATCTAAATAAGTATTGGGTTGTTGTTAGGTAGATATTTTTGACATTATTATTAATATTACTATTCGATATTTAGCTAAAAAAAATTTTTTTTTATATATAAGGGTTGTCAAGACGCGCACACACAAAACTGTGTTACTATATAGTAATAGTTGTTTCGAAATTTGTGTTATTGGGGTTTCGGAATGCGCTGCATCCATTTTGACAGTCGTATTTTCACCCCCAAAGTTATTTAAATTAGTTCCGTTTTTAATTACCTCCTTGTCTAGGGGTTGGATCGGGCATTCGTGTGTTTAAAAATAAATAAATGGTGCTGGATCATCAGGAAGGAGAATGAGCCAGAGGGAAAGGCGTTAAAAAGAAGTTACCTCGCACTAAGCATCTGTTCGGGGGTGTAATTTATTAGTCAATTTTTTTTAATGAACATGCAAATGTCACGGAGTTTTTGAGCTGAAGTAACCATTATGCTTTTGAATTATTATGGGGACGCTTTCGGGATTTTTATGGGCTCGTAAAAAATATATTTAATATCGAGTAATTTAAAAGAGTGTTGCGGAGNGATGGCCGACAACAGCAACAATTAGAAAAGAATGATGGCCGACAACAGCAACAATTGGAAAAGAATGATGGCCGACACTACGTCATAGTATTGTTCACAAAAGTGAATTTCGATCACACGATTGATAGGGGGGAAGAACTAGTTATAATTAAAATAAATTTAAATTTAAAAAGAGATCTAGTCCTTGATTTGCGTTACATTTTGTCTATAGTTCAAGTACGTCAAGGTCGAAATTATATTTGTCAAATTGTATCTGTGGTGGTAGCTATGAATGTGTCAATAATTTCGATAACATTTACTAAAAAATTACAAACTGAGCATTTTAATTAAATTATCATAAATTTACTGATATGTAAGTAGGTTTTTTGCGTAGAAAAGTGAATTTTGAAGCATCACCAAGAAAATACCAATAGGTTAAGGAGCAAACAAGTAAAAATGGATACGTTTAAGTGTGAAACAACAGTCCACTTTCTGGCTAGTTTAGTTAGTTAGACAATGGAATTTGATTTTAACGAATATAAATAGTATGAATAATTAATTTTGTGTTAACGGTGCTTTTGCTTAATTGAAATGGCGGATTTAATGCGACCAGGAAACGGTCACAGTAATGCTGTGAATGATAAGCTGGGCTCTCCCAGCACAGGAAGTGAAGATGGAAACGACAAAGAAACACAAGGAACACCAAAGGAAGCTGATGATTGTGATATTGGAAACTCTGCTCCTCATGCTCCACCAGAAGCAATGTGGTATCATGGTAGACTGGACCGCTATCAGGCTGAAGAAAGGCTTTGGGAGGCAAAAATACTGGGAAGTTACTTAGTTAGGGAAAGTGACCGTAAACCTGGCTCCTATGTCCTATCATATCTTGGAAAGACTGGTATAAATCATTTCCGTATCACAGCAGTATGTGGTGACTTTTATATTGGTGGAAGGCAGTTTGATTCTTTGAGTGATCTAGTTGGTTATTACACAGTATCAAGTGATTTGTTGAAAAAGGAAAAGCTTGTTCATCCTGTACCACCACCAGAACCAGTAAATGACAAGAAAGTAAGTAATTTAATACATTCTAATGCTGTCTTATTCATGATTTCCTTTGATTCATTGTAATGAATTTCTAAAGAAATTGTTTATACATTCCTTTTGTTTGATAAGTGAGTAATTAATAGTGCATGTGTTATCTCCATACACAGTTATCACATTATTTTGTAAGCAAAACAGTAGTGATAATGTAAAGTTGTAGCTATTATATAAATAAATATATATAACTGAAATATACAAGGGGGTCACGGTAAGAAATTGTATTTATGTATAAATTTTAGAGGGTTGTTGCCATTCTACCTTACACCAAAATGCCTGATACTGATGAACTCAGTTTCAAAAAGGGGGATATCTTCTTCGTGCACAATGATATGGGTGATGGATGGTTGTGGGTCACTGCACACAGGACAGGAGAACAGGGAATGATATTTACCGAATTAGTTGAAGACCTGGACGACAGTATCGACCCTAATACTGTTTTCCCATGGTTTCATCCCAATTGTACAAAAAACGAAGCTGTAGATCTCTTAGTAAAAGGTTGATGTTGATGATTTAATATTGAAACGTAGTATAACACTGTTCTTTATAAGTAGCTGGACCAGGCAGTTTTCTAGTAAGGCCCAGCGACAACTCTCCGGGCGACTACTCCCTTTTCTTTCACATTAACAACCAAATACAAAGATTTAGAATAGAAAAAAAGGGGGTGCGTTATCTTATGGGAGGCCGCGTCTTCGAATGTTTGGACGCTGTCATAAATAGGTACAGAAAAGAACAAATAGTCGAAGGGTACACTTTGCAACATCCTGTAAGTTGCTAATTCTTATCCGAACGAATTTCGTTACATGATACACGTTTAATTGTTTCTTTTAGTTGCTGGTTGATGGCACCAAACAACAAGACTGGGTCCCAGACACTCAAAAAACTAAATCTGACGCAGCGGCAGAAAAAATATACGCGACTTTAAGGGAATGTAGGGACCAGGCGGGATTGAAACGTATGCGAGGCATAAAACATCAGGGATACTTACACAGAAAGTCAGATAAGGTCGGAAAGAAGTGGAAACTGTTGTACTTTGTCCTTCTGGTCGACGGTACCGACACGCACATTTATCTCTACGATAATCCTAAACGCACAAAACCCAAGGGCCTTATTGATTTGTCCTGCACGTACTTATACCAGGTCAGTCAGGCAAAAGCACTAACGAAACTGTTGTTGTTCTAATATCATCAATTTCAATTATAGGTGCACGACAGTTTATGGGAAAGGCCTCATTGCTTGCAGCTGGTTGAGAGGGCTTTGCCCTGTTTGGCGACGGTCACCCATCTTGCTGCACCCTCAACAGAGGAATGCCAAGCGTGGATAACGGCCCTCAAACCCCTGTGCATTCCACAGCTTAGCAGGGCCATGTCAAAGGTACTTGTGTAGTTTGAACATTGTCTAATTATAACTGCATTTTTATTTTGTTTTGTTCGTTTAGGTGCCAAAATTGCGAGAGCTTCGTAGTTTGACTCTTCACGTCTTAGACGCTCATCGATTGCCATATAAATTTGTGCCACAGCCCTTTATTACACTTCAAATGAACAACCAAGTAAGGATAGCGAAGACAAGGATTAAATCGGGGCCTGATCCTGTGTGGGACGAAGAATTCGTTTTTGAGTTAGTTGTCTTTTACCTATTAAACCCGAATTTCGCGATCCGATTAATTGTACCCTTGTTTTAGTGATGTACCGTGTGATATTGTGTCGTTAACGTTGACGATACACAACAAAGGAAAGAGAGGAAAAGACTCGGAAGTTGCGGAACTTCACATAGAATTGGAATCGTTAGGAAATGGGGAAGAGAAAGAGGAATGGTACAGCCTCTCGGGATTAACACCAATCGGGGAATGGGGCTCCCTAAGATTGCGCACAAGGTATTAATTAAATACACCGAAATCACGTCTATGTCATTAAATAATTTTTAGATTTCTTCACGATTTAGTGATGCCTGCAGAAGAGTACAGTCCTTTGCAACAGTTGCTTTTAGAACCTGGTCTAACGTCGGTCAAATGTCTGGCGGAAATATGTCACTCCGATAGGGCTCCTCTGGCCACGTCGTTGCTTAGAGTTTTCAGAGCTGAAGGGCGAGAAACTGAACTTTTGCAAGAACTTAACTCTGCAGAAGTACGTTCACTCCATTTAAGAAATGTCCCAATTTTGTAATCCTGTTGTTTATTTTTTTGTAGGTAGGAAGAGAGACTGATACGTCGACCCTGTTTAGGGCTGCGAGTCTTGCTACCACTCTCATGGACCTGTACATGAGGGAAGAGTGTAGTGGTTTTTTGCAGGCGGCTGTACTTGAAACCGTCCTCAGACTCCTGGAGACGAAGCAGAGCGCGGAATTGAACCCTGCCAAAATGGATTCTCCCGACGATGCTTGCAACAACGCCGAATTTCTTTTACAAATACTCGATCAGGTAGAACGCTTATCTCATGTCCAATTAGCGAATTTGATTTTATTACTGTTTTAGATAACGCTGAGCATTTTTATGTCTCCGGACGCATGTCCCAGATCTGTTCGTTACATCTGTGGCTGTTTGCAAAGAGCTGTGGTGGCAAAATGGCCTGGTGAAAGACTCGTACGAACTAGAGTGGTATCTGGATTTATATTCTTAAGACTGTTGTGCCCTGCATTACTTAACCCCAGACAATTTGGTCTAGTGAGCGAACAGCCCAGCTCAACGGCCACCAGGAGTCTCATTATGGTCGCTAAATGCTTACAGAACTTGGCCAATTTGGTAGAATTTGGAGGCAAGGTAATAAAACCATGTCTGATAATATAATAATTCAGAATAATATTTCATATTAAAACTAACTCACTTCTAAAAGATGTCTAAAAAATTGTATGTATGTTTAAACATAGTATATATTAGTTCGACGGATTTGTGACCTAATAAGTACGGTTTGTCGTTGTTGCTGTTGTCATCTCTCGTAGCTTAGTGGTCAAAGCATTGGCGCGTAAAGCCAAAGATCCCGGGTTCGATTCCCGGCGGGGGTGTGACAACAGCAACAAATTTTTCCTCATTAATTTGAGGAAGTGTGTAGTGGGTAAAAATTCACAAATGAATATAATAATTATAAAAGTGCACCTTGTTTATTGTGTGCTGAAGTTATCGTAATATGGCGTTGCATTACACAATATATCTCTTTAGGAACCCTATATGGAGGTAGTAAACCCCTTCATTCTTAAAAACAAGGAGAGGATGGTGGTGTTTTTGGATCAGTTATCGGCCGTACCAGACCCCGGGGAACCCCGAATGACCAACAAGACCGATACTGCTCGTGAACTGGCAACGTTACATCACATTTGCGTTGCTCACTTGATCGAGTTGCAAGCCGTGGCCAAGGTTAATAACAACGTTAAAACATTGGTCACCGTAACAGACATGCTTACGAAACACAAACAAAAGTATCTCGAAATGATAAGATAATAAATAACTTCGTTTTTCATAATAATAACGAAAAAACATGATACAAACGAATGGCTCTTTTTATGATTGTAATAATACGAACTACAGGTAACACAGATTTGGTCGAAACGTTTTGTCTTTCGTTTTCTTTTTTCTTTTGAGTCCCCAATACTGCCCTTTATCGTTAATTAGTTCAAAATTCAGTAAATTAACCGAGTCTTGATTATTTTACATTGGTGTAGAATCTTAAATATTGGCGATCGAAACTGAAAACGTTTCCCCATAATCTCGAGATAATTTTTGTACCCTGAACAAATGTTGGCTTAATTAGAAGACGTAGCGACAAAGTGATTTTTTACCACTAGTTAGCCTTTTTCATGCTCATTTACTCATTAGTAGTTTGGTAACAATAATTATTAATAATGATATTTAATAATGATAATAATAACGAATCCCATTTATATACAGGAACAAAAAAATAATAGTAACGTTATAATTTTTATAAACAATTGTGTGGTCTAGTCAGCACCCTCGGTGTGTATTAGGGCTGATTCTATAATGTCAATTCTAAAGTTAGACTTCGAAACGTGTAGTTCTGTCTGCTTATATCTGTTAGTTGGTTAGAATTTTAGCTGACTTTCGGTTTCTCTTGTGTTCTTTTAGTCGATTTGTTTCTCTTTAATTCAACTATCGATTGCCAAAAGGCTTTTTTTATATTTACATTTACACCTTTTTAAATAAATAGACTGACGAGGTCTCTGAATAATATTACTACGATATAATACTTATTAATTATTCCCTTAATGAGCTTACAGTAGTTTATTGACTCTTTTCTACTCGATATATTTATTCCATGTGTATGTATATAATATAACATATTATTGTATTATGTGAAACGTAATCAGTTGAATTTTTATTTACTTTTCCCTATATTACTTTTCTTACTTATTTTTTATTAAAAAAGAAAATGAAAATTGTTTACAAAAAGTCTTCGATACAATAAAATTTGTACTATTAAATATTATACCTGTGTTTTTATTTAATATCATCCCCTCACCTCATTAAAAAGGGGTACATTAATATCGAAAATTAAAATAGTAATTAATAAAGAGAATAAATAATTTAGTAATGTCTAAAGTAAATAGAAAATAACATTTTTTAAATAAATTAACCAAGAGTATAGGCAACACATTATACAGACTATGCCAATCTGTGAGTTGCACTGCTTCCAACGTTATTTATGTCGATGTCTGTATATTCTTTTCATGTGGTGGTGTAATTAAAATGTCCTTCTTTTACTTAGATGTGAAAGTTGGAGATAACAGGAGCATCATCTCTAAAAATAGCAAGCTTAAAAGGCTGTTATCTACATCCACGAATAAATGAAACGATTGAACGAGCTTTTCGTGGCTAGATTTAAATTTATAAACGAACTTAATCTTATGTTAAAGATACTGGGTACTAATTAAGTTGTACATTTTATGTAATTACTTTTTATTTTATAAACTGTAGTTTTTACGAATGTAAATGTATCTAATGGTACTCACGTATTAGCCACTGAAAAAACATCATTGCAGTTAAATAGAACGAATATATTTATAGTTCTTCTGTAAATTATAGTAAAATAAGCTTTAATTTAGTCATTGAATTTATTTGCTGCATAATTTTAATTCATATTTTAACAGAAATAGAGGAATTTCTTCAGGGTACAAAACTTATCTTATTTCTAACCTCTTAACGTCAGATGCACGTCAGATTATACCAATTTTTTACGATTTGATCTTTGAAACTATGAAAATGTACAATATAAGTCAATTATTAACGTTTCTTGAGAAAATCTATTAAGGACATTTTGGGGCTTAAATCGAAGAAATATTAAATGTATTTAAACATATTATTTGTTTACAAACAATTGCATTGTTGAAGTGACAGTATTGAAAATAGGCATATGATTGGCTGTTACAAATTTGTTTCACGAAATACCTTCGATTGGGAAACTATCAATGAATGATGAATGAAAGAGTAGGTTCACTGACCTAATTATAGTAAACGTTGTAAAAAAATTGCATATTTAAACCAAACTTTGCAAATCAATATCCCGGGAATCACTTAACCGATTTACTTGCGGTTTTTACTATTGTACTGAGAATATCCTCGACAATCATGATTGCAAAAACGAAATAAATGTAAGTTGATTTATTGACAGTAATTCGCCGTTATAAATCAGCACATCGACTGAAATGATTACGTTACTTTGATTAGTTTTATCAGTTTTAATGGAACATTATCAATTAAAATAGTCAATATTCATTAGAATATCGATTAAAAAGAGAAAAATGATGAATGAGAATGAAATAAATTTTTTGTTTGGACACATGGCTAGTAATAAATCAGAAGGTTTATTAAGGTGCACGAAATTACGAAAAACAAGGGCCACGTGGCAAACACTATATCCCAGAACGGGAAGTTGTAAGATTCTGGTGTATTTTTATGCACACATCACATTAGAGCGAAGGTGACTAGTGTCCACGATTAGATCGAAACGAACAAGTCGTTACTTATGTACATACATTAAGTTTTAGCATAACTTTCTTGATATTACTTATATCAGCCAGCTTGCAGCAGTCGTAGACGTTTATTAAATCTATGACACGGTGTATAATTCAACTGAACTTTTAAATAAAAGTCTTAAATGCGCTTATGTCATCGGATTTATAAGCAACTCTGCCGAGAAATTTGATGGCAAATGTTCGTATATGTTCAATATGCAGCGCTAATAAATAAAATGCACCAGGCGTCGAAATAATTTTTTAAAATTTTTCGCCGATTATTTATTATACGATTAAATTCATTGCATTGTTTCTGTCTGACGAAAATAATTAAGTAATAAATGTACAAATAGCAGAAGGTGTGTGCAGACTTATTATTTAAAACGATGTTCTGGAACAATGACAATGTAAGCAAAGGCAAAGCTTGAATAAATAAATATTATATTGCCAAACGCTTGCCCTCAAGTTCTTTATTTACCTAATCGAGCCCTTGTTTATCTTGCGTGTAGGGGTCGCATATTGTTCAGGGTTGAACGGAGAATATTAATTCCCGGATTTGAAATCACAACATTATACCAAGATCGAAGCTAATGAATTAAATGTTTACGTATGAACTTCATATTGGTTATGTAAAATTTATCGACAACTTTAATTTGATTTAATGTTAAATTAAATTAAAGAAATCTGGACTTCAAGAGAGGCGGCTTAGTTTTAGGCGCCGAGCCGTTATTAAAGTTAAATAAAAGTTAAGCTAATCGTTCAATTCGAAAGAGACTACGTTTCATCTGAAATGATTAATTGACGAGAACATCTTCGAGACCGTACAGTCTTTGAAGTCGACCTTTCTTTTTTCATTTTTTTTGGCCAAGGACCAAACAGTCCACGCACTACTACGTACACGTATTACCAATCCGCTTTCTTCTTTCTGCGTTTTCTTGCGTAATTTTCGACGAGCGGACGAGACAGAATTACATTCTCGACCCCTAGAGAACGAGACGGTGTGGTGTCTTTGGCTCGCAGGTCCCCAGGTCTCACGTCGTTTCGCATTAGCTTCGGGAAGCCCTGTTTCTCCCCAAAACCCATTTACTACGCTGTCTAATAGGTAACGTTTCCTGCGGGAGAGAAACAGCGCTCTTTACCACACCCGGTCCAGTCTGGAAGAGCAACAGGGATAAAATAAGGACGAACATGAACTTAGAATAGTGTTGGTATTTCTGAATATGCGCACTCCGGGATACCTACGAGGTGAATGGCAACTAAATATACATACATATATATCTATATACATATATATATTAAGCATTTGTATATACACATATGTATGTCTATGTATACGACGGATAGCTACTACTTCCTCCACTCGCAACTGGCTGGATAGCATCAGGACTCCGGCATCTACTTCAGTAGCGGAAATACGTCGGGTAGTGGTGGAACGACGCCGAGCGTCGGCCGCGTCCCTTTTTAACTTATTACGGGAACCTGCCGCACGCCGATTCATGCGTGATCGAATGTCGCGCGCGATAAAAACGTACGAAACGTCGAGAGAGCGCCGCGTATGCAAAGTTCTTCGTGTTAGGGTTGTCTGTTGAATTAAAGCACGGGAAGTGCGTTGAAAAAGGGTTGTTCGTATATCATTAGTTTTAAAAGTACACGTACACTTCGTGGTGTTTTGTGGAGCCCTGGAGCTCTGCAATATCTAAATAAGTATTGGGTTGTTGTTAGGTAGATATTTTTGACATTATTATTAATATTACTATTCGATATTTAGCTAAAAAAAATTTTTTTTTATATATAANAATATTGCGATTACTTATTATTTGTGATTCACGAATCTTAAGCAGTTGAAGACCAAAATTGCTTCAGTTTGTTAGTCGCCAAGTCGCACATTTAACATTAGTCATTCTGGCCACGAACGAACTATTTTTAATAAGTTTCTAGATCGTCTAGGGTTTCGCAATTCTTTTCATAAAGTATCTTGTTTCAAATGATTATTTGCCTACAATATACATACATAATACGTAGTACATATTAGTGATGCTTTTTTATTGAAACTGATTCTTTTGTTTCTTATTGTTCCAGATATACACGGATTGGGCCAACTATTACTTGGAAAAATCACGAAACAAAAAGCGATTTCTTTCGCTGGCCAGGGATTGCTGCGACGGTGTACTCCTAGCCGATTTGATAGAATCAGTTAGTAAGTGTCTTCAACTGTTTCACATTAATAAAGCTTTTGTTTTGTTTAATAGGAAGCACTGTTGTTTTTGTTTTTCGCTAATGTTTTGAGATGAAAGACACTGAAAATACGCAGCTTCATAATTAAGAGATGAAATTTGGTAATTAATAATTCATTAATCTTCTTAAATAAAAACAGAAGTGGTGGCCGATTTTGCAATTCAAACTTCCGCTGGATACTTTGAGAGCTGTTTTAAGTTAACACGTTTTAATATTCAAGTTTCATTTATCGTCTGGGCCGTTTTACAAACGCGAACGAATGAATAATTTATAAAAGGAGCGTCTCCTAAGTCTTCCGTTATTGTCTAATAGATTATTCAATGTTTCTCTTATTAGATATCATAATATTGCAACAGGAAAGATTTCTGTCGCTGAAAGTATAATTTAAATAAAACAAACCATTAATTTGTAATGATGCAACAGTTGAAGTTGTAAAACAGTCACTTAACATTAATAAATTCAAAAAAAAAAATTGTTTATCATTTGTGCAATAGCAAAAGCAATACGACATGGTTTTATAGCGACTTTAATTACATTACCATTGATTAGCGCAAAGCATCGGTACAAGTTTCAATAAATTAGCGTAAATGGTTGTCGT